GTGCGGAAGGTACGGGGGGGGGGGGGGGGGGGCGGGGGGAAGCCCAGCCTCCCACCCGCACAGCCAGCCCTCCTTCTACAGCTCCTCCCCCAGGCTCGCAGCCCTGCATTGGTGGCCCTTTCTCCTTCGCTCTTCCAGCCCAGCCCCACCTGTGGCTCTTCACCCAGAGAAAGGCAAGCGCCTCGCTGAACCACTTCACAGCCTGCCCTGCCAGCCGACCCCAGCGGCGAGGTCCTGGGAAGGCTGGGCCTCCCTCCTCCCCCGGACTCCTCCGCGCTGGTCGCTGGTCCGCCAGTCGCTGGTCCTGGTCCGCTGGCCTCCGCTGCTGCCACAGCAACCGGGCCTGAGATTTGTGATTCGCCAGAGAATCCTGGCGCGTCTGTGCCCACGTGGCGCCCCACAGGCCTGCCCGCGCTGTCCCCGGACGTGCTCATTGCGCTGTGCACATTTCCACGCGCTGCCGTGCCAGAGAGCCTTCCCTGGGCCCCGCAGGTGTAACGGCCCCTCCAGGTGGCTCATATGGATGCCGTGGGCGGGTTTTAGAGTTACTTGTTGAGGAACCGTTTCTGATTTCTTTCTTTGTCCCTGGGCTCAGCCACGGGTCAGGTAGAGCACAGATCAGGGAATACCTGAGTGTTCCCCTTCTGCCCATGGGAACCCTGGAACCCACGGATGGCTCGACTGGGGCAAAGAGGGCACCTGGTTCCTTCTGCCCTCTGGGGAGAGAAGGAGAGCCAGCAGGGAGGGCATGAGTAAGGCTTCAGAGAGGGAGGAAGGATGGGGTCAGGACTCATCGTCCTTCAGACATTCCTCTCCCCCCCCCCCCCCCCCCACACGCTCTCTGCAGAGGCTGTGCAGGGCACATGGGACTCACATGAGGTCCCAGCCCTGAGAGGCTAGCAGGGGAAAGAATGACCACAAAGAGTGGCCAGGCCCCTGAGAGAGGAAGGACTCTGACCCAGCCAGTGGGTGGGTAGATCAGGGAAAGCTTCCTGGAGGAGGAGAATTCCAAACTCCTCATTGAAGTACATGTATGACCTACTAGGTAAAGAAAGGAATTGAGAGTATATGCTCCCAACGGGTCAGTTTTCTTCCCTCCTCCTCCTTTATCTGGCACAGCAGAGAACGACACCCCCTCCTACATTAAGGAATCATTTATGGTGATAGGACTTAAGTCAGAAATTGGACTTTCCCTGCATCTAGCCCCTCCTGGAACTGGACTACTGGGACAGTGGTCTCCTTTCCGGCCCCACCCAATGCCCTTCTGACATCCCAACATAGCATTTCAATAGGGAAGTTGGATGCCCAGCACAGCCGTGCCACTCAAGCAGCAGGTCAGGCGGGCACCAGGCCATGGCTGGCAGTGTCCACCCTGCACTGAGGAGCTGAAACACAGACGCTGCCCCTTCCCAACTGTGCTACCTGGGCAAGCCACCTCCTTCTCCGATTCTCAGCTTTCTTACCTGTAAATAAAGCGAATAGTCTCTGTACTTGGGCTAATTTGGGTATGCTCCTGGCGTGCAGCAGAAGCTCGGTAAGAGGTCAATACTGCCCTCGGAAAGGGACCTTCAGAAGGTCCAGGGCAGAGACTGTGTCTCATTCACTCCTGGGCAGTACCTGGAACATAGTAAATGCTCAGTAAATCTTTGCTGAGTGACAAATGAACAAAAAATTAATCTAGCCCAGCTTCCCAAGAGTGCGTAAATCCTCAAAGAGACTCGGGTTTGAATCCTGGCCCTGCTGCTTCCCAGCTGGTGGCCTTGGGCAAGTTACCCTGGCCAAGGCTCCATTTCCTGCAGGCATATGACTGCAGCCTCCTGGAGGAGCTGTTTTGGGGTGTCAGTGAGGGGTGCTGTGTACACTACCAAGTCCTGTGCAAGGGGAGTCCCTGTGCAAGGTGAGTACTCTCAGGGTGTCCCAGACCTGCCTGGGCTGCTTCTGTCCCTGCCTGAGCCTCTTGGCTGTAGGACTCATGGAGGAGTGACCACAGGCTATAAGCCAAAGTCCACTGTGATGGGAGTCCTGGCTGCCAGACACACCAGAGCAGGCCAGGGTGAGTCAGCTGTACAGCAAGGACTACAGTTATCTCACAGCCTCCCCACCGCAGCTACTCACTCTTTCTCTATTGTAGGCGCTGCCGCAACCCCCCTCCTACGCCCATTACACCGCAGAGGACACTAAGGCTCAGACAGGGAGAGTAATTTGCCCTGGTCACCCCTAGTGAGTGTAGGATCACACAGTGGATATGGAACTCACAACTAGGTTTGAGAGTTCCCTGGCTGCAAGAGTTTCTAACTCATCCAGATTCTGGAACCATCTGTTACGTCAACAGAGTCAAGTCAAGCTTCTCGGCCAAGATTCAGGCTTCTGTGATGGGGCTCTGGCACTGCCTTCAGTCCTCATCCCTTGCCATCGCCTCCCCATGCTCTGTAAGCGTCAACCATAGGAGGCTGCTCTGTCCCTAGGCATACCTGCACTGCAAGCCTCTGGCCTGTCACATACCTTTCCTGCTGCTGAAATACACCTCCCCATTCAACTCCTGCTCGTCTTCTCAGAGTCAGATCAAAGGCCAGGATGAAAAGCAAACAGACAAAAACAGGAAAAGTAACAAGTATTGGTGAGGATGTAGAAAAATAAGAACATTTGTGCATTGTTGGTGGGAATGTAAAATGGTGCAGCTCCATGGAAAATAGTATAGCAGTTCTTCAAACAATTAAACTTACAATTACTACTATATGACCAAGCAATTCCACTTCTGGGTATATACCCAAAAGGATTGAAAGCAGGTCTTAAATAGAGATTTGTACATGCATTGTTCCCAATAGTCAAGAGAAAGAAGCCACTCTCTTGGGGTGAATGGATAAACAAACTGGGTCATGTACATACAATGAAATATTCAGCCTTAAAAAGAAGGAAATTCTGAAGTATTCTACAAGATAGAAGAACAATGACATTATTCTAAGTGAAATAAGCCAGACACAAAAGGGCAAATGTTATATTACTAGAGGCCCAGTGCACAAAATTCGTGCACACGTAGGGTCCCTAGCAGCTGCTGGCTGCCGGCTGGGGCCTCCCTTCCCTGGCTGCTGGCTAGGGCCTTCCTTTGTTCTGCACTGCACCCTGGTGGTCAGCACACATCACAGTGAGCAATCAAACTCCTGGTTCCGTGGTTGGCAAACTGCGGCTCACAAGCCACATGCGGCTCTTTGGCCCCTTGAGTGTGGCTCTTCCTAAGCCTTAGGAGTACCCTAATTAACTTAATAACAATGTACCTACCTATATAGTTTAAGTTTAAAAAATTTGGCTCTCAAAAGAAATTTCCATCGTTGTACTGTTGATATTTGGCTCTGTTGACTAATGAGTTTGCCGACCACTGTCCTGGTCGGTTGAACTCCCAAGGGGACACTTTGCATATTAAGCTTTTATATACTAGTATATATAGATTACACTCATACGAGACAGCGGTAGAGTGGTGGTTACCAGGGACTAGAGAAGGGGGGAGTGGGAATTATTGTTTAATGGGCACAGAGTTACAGTTTGAGAAGATGAAAGTGTTCTAGAAATGGGTGGTGGTGATGGTTGCACAACCATGTGAATATACTTAATGCTACTGACTGTACACTTAAAAATGGCTAAAATGGTAAATTTTATGTTAAGTGTATATTACCACAATCAAATAATTTTAAAAAGCCAAACACTCTGAAATCCATTCCTTCTTCTTCCAAGAAGGTGAGAGCCCACATTTCATCTCATGATCACCAGAAAAGTATTAAACTTTAGCCCTGGCTGGAGTGTCTCAATGGTTAGAGTGTCGGTCCACGCATCAAAGGGTTGCAGGTCCCAGCCAAGGGCATGTACCTGGGTTGCAGGTTTGATCCCTGGACCTGGTCGGGGTGCGTGTAGGAGTCAACCAATTGATATGTCTCTTTCACATTGATGTTTCTCTCTCTCTGTCTCTCTCTTCCCTCCTTCCATCCCTCTTTCCCTTCCACTCTTTCTTAAAAACATCAATGAAAAACTATCCCTAGATGAAGATTAACAAAAAAATTATTAAATTAAAATTACAGGTGAAAAATAGCAACAGAATATTGTTTTAATTTACTTTTTTTATTGTTCAAGTCAAATATTTTTTCCAAGTTTACTAATGGGCTCTATTTCTGCTTTTGAAGATGCTGCTCTATTTTTCAAAAAGTTGAAGCAACAGGGTCTCAGGAGCCCAGCCTCGGTGAAAAGGGACAGACTTGCCACAAGAGCCAAGCACTGGAGGACAAACAGCCTTGCAGCCGGGATGGTGGTGACGGCCCAGCCTTCTGGAGGGTAGGGAGCCCACCCCGCCTTACAAGGCCACGGGTCCAGTGCTGGATGGGCTGGGACCAAGGGCAAGGAGTGGGAGCTGGCAGTATCCAGAGTGAAACTAACCAGGTCTACCCTTGAGATCTACCCTGCCCCTGCGGGAGGGGAAGTCACCTCATGTCAGACAGGGAAGTCTGCAGTGTGAGATGATGCAGGTCGCACAACGGCAATGGAGAACCAGCACATGGAGCCCCTTCGTCTTTGCAATGGGGCCAGCTGCGCGCAGAGAAGGCAGGGATATCCAGGTGGAGAAGCCTGGTAAATAAGGCCAGCGGAGGAGCGGGAGGGAGGTGGCAGGCTCTGTTCAGAGGAAGAACACTAACACTTGAGGAGCTATGGTGGTGATGGGACCGCAGCAGGGGTGAGCGGGCTGGTGCAGGTGGCTGGAAGGGCCAGTCCTGACTCTGCCGATCAGCGAGGGTGGAGCAGTGCCCACGGAGGAAGAGCCAGGCCTGGAACTGGTTGAGCGTGACTCAGTTCTGCGACCTCGGCATGTCCTTTCCCTCCTGAGCCTCCGTTTCCTCCGCACAGAGTGAAAACGCGCCTTGGCCGTGCACCGGGCTTTGCGCGCCCGCATTTGGCAATGCACCTGTTTGTCTGGCACACCTGGTTGTGCACCTGAGTGGCGAAAACGGAAACGCCCACAGGGACCTACCCACGGGCGGGAGGCGCCCCGGGACCCGGAGGTGGCCGCGCCCTGCGCCGCCGCGCGCTGACCTGCAGCTCCCCGCGCCAGGCTGGCTCGCGGGGCGCCCCATCCACTGCCTTCCGCAGCCTCCGGCGCAAGGGCCGGGTCCGGGGAGCAGCGGGGCAGACATGGCGGACCCCGAGGCTGTGGCCGAGGACCTGGACGCCCTCATCGACGACCTGGACTACCTCCCGGGCCACTTCCACCTGGAGATGCAGCTGAACTTTGAGCCGCGCTCTCCCGCGTCTCTGCGCGCCCGGGACCTGAAGCTGCAGCGGGAAGGCCTGCGGCAGGAGCTGGGGCTGGCGGCCGCCCCGCGGCGCTCGGCGGTGCGCCACCTCCTGGGCACCTTTGCCTTCTACCTGGAGGAGCTGGACGAGGCCCGCGAGAGCTTCCTCCAGGTGGCCCGTGAGGATCCGGGCAACCTCAACGCCTGGGCCAACCTGGCACACGTGTACGGGCGGCTGGGGCAGGAGGAAGAGGAAGAGGCTTGCGCCGGGAGACTGGCCGGCCTCATGGGCCTGGCGGCCGACGCCGACTCCGAGGCGGACCGGGACTCCCACGTCCGCGCCGCGCGCTGCCTGGCGGAGCAGGGCTATGCCCATGGCTTCGACGTGGGCTGCGCCAGCCCAGAGGAGCGCGCGCAGGTGCTGGCGGCGGGCATCGCGCTCTACGACAAGGCGCTGAGCTACGGGCAGCAGGTAGGTGGCTCCTCTCCGGGCTGGGGGGCTGAGGTTGTGGTCCCCAAAGTCTGCAAGGCTGTTCCCGCAACCTCCTAGAGTCTAGGAGGGCCTAGGCAACGCAAACCCTGGTCCCTTGGATTCCAGAGAACCTTTCCAATATCCCTCTCCTCTCAGCATCGCCGGTGGGGGCCAGACCAACTCTGTAACTTTTCTCTGCTGGGCCAGGGGTGGGCCCTCTTCCTAGTGGGGCAGCTGCCGTAGATTTTTATTCTGGCAGCACCACAAACTCCACTTGACTAACTCATCCCTCTCATCCTGCCCCTCCCAGCAAGTAACTGTCCACCTGCCTGTGCACACCCACCCAAAGAAAAGGCACCCTGGGGACACCGCGCCAGACACTTGGGCCGCATTCTTACCTCCTCTCTCCCCTTCACCCCTATCCCCACCCATTCAGACCTCAAATCCTGTCCATTCTGCCTCCTCGTATCTCTGAGGTCTGTCCGCTCCTCTCCAGCCTCCCTCCGCCAGCCCAGCCTCCATCAGTCCCTGCCTGAACGGGTCCATCAGCCTGCCTGGGTTCCTGCCCTCTGGTTTGACCTTCTGCCTCGTCCTCCACCTGCAGCCAGTTCATGTTCTCAATCTTGCTACCCATGCTCCTCAGCTGCTTACAACCACCAGTGACTCCCACTGCCTGGCAGACAAGTCCCAGGCTCTGCAGTGGGCATGGGAGGCCCTGCGTGATCACAGCCCCCTTTGCCACGGCCCCCTTCCCAGCCAGGCTGTTCCTGTGGTCTGCTTCCCCTGGCCCCCCTGAGCCAGGTCTCCTTGCACCCACGTTGTCACTCTCTCAGCCTCTTTCCGAGGTGCCTTTCTGCTTACCTTTGCCTGGAAGGTTCTCCAGTCTCAGACATCCCTCCACTCACTCCTCCAGGCTGGGTCGGTGCCTCCCTGGGATCCCATAGCACTGCTCACACCGTCCATTTACAAGTCTGTCTCCCCAGCTCAACCTTCAGGTCTTTGAGAGTGAGGACATTTGCCTGGCTTACCACCGTCCGTACACCCCATGCCTGGTACACAGCGGACTCACTAAATGTATCTTGAATGAATGTAGGTGCAGCATAAGGCCTGGCACTAAATAGACAAATACTAGGTATACTAGTTACCTATTGCTGCATAACAAATACTAGTACCCTCTGAAACATAGCAGCTTAAAGCAAGAAGCATGTATTATCGCAGGGTTTGGTGGCTCAGCTGGGTGCACCTGGTCTGTGGTCTCATCTGACGGTTTGCTCGCTCTCCTTCCAAGCTCGTTCTGATGGCTGTTGACAGGATTCAGTTCCTCACTGGCTGCAGCCAGAGGCCTCCCTCAAATCCTTGCCATGTGGACAGCCATCATTTTTACTACATTCTGCTCAGTAGAAGCGAGTCGGTAGGTCTAGTCCACACAGAAAGGAGGGGATTCCATGGGGCACGAATATCAGGAGGTAGGGATCCATGGGCGCCATCTCAGAGGCAGCCTGCTTTGGATGACCAGCGACTAGAGGCCTTGTCCTCCTTCCTACAGAAGAGGGGACCTCAGTTCAGAGAGGTATCGTGATTTTTCTGTGAAGGCACAGCACAGGCAGAGTTGAACTGATAACAATGACATTTTATTATGGTTTAGATTTGTGATATTTAAATAACAACACTCCTCACACAGGGCTCCACTCACAAAGCCTCTGTACATCCCCTTAGAGCAGTGGTTCTCAGCCTTGGCTGCACATTAGAATCACCTGGGAATCTTTTTAAAATCCTGATTTCTGGGCCTCATCCTCCGGAAATTCTGTTTCTTTGTTACTAATGTTGTGGCCCCACCCCATAACAAAGAAACAGAATTTCCAGAGGAGGAGGCCCAGAAATCAGGATTTTAAAAAGATTCCCAGGTGATTCTAATGTGCAGCCAAGGTTGAGAACCACTGCCTTAGAGCCTTTTCCAACAAAGCTCTTGGCTTCAGAGAGGAAATGTGGAGTCCAGGCCTCAGGGGGTGCAGGGTGGAGCACAGGGTTTTAACTTGAGGAGCAGTACAGGGTGGAGATGAAGTTGGTACTCAGTCAGGGGGTCCGGTCCAAATCCCAGCTCCCCCATGCTTTCTCACCTCCATCTGTCCTTAGCATCCCTGGACTTGTTTCCCTCTGTAAAATGGGGATATAATGGTCCTGAGGTCCTTGGCTTCCTCATCTGTTAAATGGGGACATTCTCGTCTGGCTGATGTCATAGCTAAGAGCTGATATTTGGGAAGCACCTGGAATAGAGCCTGCACAGAGACGGCAGGATCACAGACAGCCCCTGCCTCTCCCAGCCTGAGGGGGTCACCTCCGCCCCACACTGGGTGCAGCTGTGGCCACGCGAGGGGCCAACAGGGGCCCAGGTCTCCTGTTTTAAAGCCCGAGGCCCTGAGTGACAGCTGCCCTCAGTGGGAAGGCATAGCCAGCATGTTTGTGTTGAGTGTGGTCTTGGCAGCAGAGTGGGGCCTACGCCCTGGGCTGGGAGCCAGGAGGCCTCCTCCTGCCTGGGCTGTGGTTTCCCCATCTGTGAAAGAGAGAGGCGGGGGAGGGTCTCCAAGGTCCCCCTCCTGCTCTCCGGAAGGGGCTCTTGGGGGAGACTTCCTGGAGGAGGGAATCAGGAAGTCAGAGGCTTGGGGGTAGGGATGGAATGGAGGCTGGCTCCTCCCTCCCTGGTAGGACCACCTACCTAGTCAGGGACCTCCCAGAGGAGAGAGTGTCGAGCAGGGCGCTGCCCAGTGCCCCAGGGAGAGAGCTGATTGCATAGGTGGGAGGTGGCCACCAGCCTCTGTGCTGTGTCCTCAGGCCTGGCCCAGCCACTGCTCCCCAGGTCTGGACAGAGGGGCTGTAGTCAGTTTCTCCCAACAAATCCCAGGAGAAAGTTGGGGGTTTGGAGCTCCCCATTTCATCATCCAGGGATTAGAAGAGGTGGTGCTTGTAAAGTAGCTGGCACAGAGTAGGTGCTCAAGAAATAGCTATAGTCAGCATCATGACGATGACTCCATTATAGTCAGAGGAAGGGGGCTTGGGGTGGAGCCCCCAGCTCTCATTATTTTGCTGTCACTTTCGTCTCTGGCCTCAGTGTCTGCTTCATGAACATTAAACAATAGTGATCTCGGTTTACTGATTATCCGAGGGAATCGTCAGGTGAAAGTGCATAAACTGGTCAATTCTGGGCATGTCTGAGAGGCACGTACTCAGCATCTTAACACGGCTGAGCACCTGCTGCATGCCAGGCCCTGTCTTTAAGCAGCTCACGGACAAAGGGTGGAGATATTTCTTCATTAACCAGACTTGCCTGGGCCCATCCTCTGGGAGCAGGAGCCAAAGGGACAAGTACCTACGACTGGCTGAGGTCACAGGCATTCATGGCATGGCCTGTGCCGGGTGGCAGTCATCTCCACGGGCTGTACACCAAAGACCATGCTTTCCGAACCAAAAGTAGGCCCCCTGGTTGACAAGGGACAGGGACTCTGGGAACATGGGACCAGTGTCGGAGTCAGCAGTGCCCTGAGAGTCCAGGTCCTGGGGATGGAGGGCAGTGCCTGCGTCAGGAGGAGGAGCACTCCCTCTCAGCTCCAGTGGCTGAGGGCGGCTGGGAACAGGCGGGAGTGGGCTGACTGGCAGGAAGGAGGTGAGGGCATGCCCAGCAGAGGGCCTGGGGGGACCTGCAGAGCCCCAGGGCTTTGGTGGCACCCACACTGGAGCAGGGGTTAGGCCCAGAAAGGGGCAGCCAGAAGCTTCAGGGGGAGGAGCACCGGATGGCCCTGAAGAACGACTGCCCGCTCCCTGGAATCTGGGTCCCGCCCTCCTCTTTGCCACAGTTCCTCCTACTCCCCTGGAACCTATGTGCCAGCGAGTCTAAACTACTTATCCTTCTCCAAACACACGGTGCTGTTTCATACCTCCCTGCACAGCTATGGTGCCCTCTGCCTAGAAAGCAGACTCCATCCATGAAGACCCAGCTCAAATGTCACCTCCCCCTTGAAGCCTTCCTTGCTCCCACACAGCTTCCCACAGTCATATTCATGAATATCTTCTGTGGGTGCCTTCCAGACTTTATCCTAGGCAGTCCTCACAAGAACCCCTGATCCCATTTTACAGATGTGGGAACTGAGGCACAGCCAGGCTAAGTAACTTGCACCAGGTCACTGTAAGTGGCAGTTGAATCCACCTATTCTGCCCGACTTCAAACCCTCTGCTCTTTCTGGAGAAGTCAGAGAAGTGGGGGGTGATAAGTGCTGTGCTTTTGGCTGGCGGGTGGTAAGGGTGACCCCTTGAAAACCACTGGGAATCTAGGGTGGATGAAGTGTTGAGGGAGAAAAGGTGGGTTTCCATGTATCATTAGGGGGGTCTGGAAGGATGAGGGCAGAGATGAAGTCACAGTTGGGGCCGGGGGAGGAGGAGATGGGACTGCAGAGCAGCAGTTGTGGGACCCAGTTGAGAGGGTCACCACCCACAGCAGCACAGCTGGGTGAGCAGCTGATGGTCTGACCCACCAGTGCTGCAGCTCCAAGAGATTCCATCCTAATGGGGTGGGACTGTCCCAGGCAGGAGGAGCCCCTGCCATTCAAAGGATGAAGAGCAGCTGAAGAACCAATGAACAGCTGCTCATCCTATCTAATAAAAGAGAAACATGGTAATTGGCGTACGACCGCTACCCTTCCCATTGGCTAATCAGGGCAATATGCAAATTAACTGCCAGCCAAGAAGCTGGCCGGCAGCCAGGCAGCTTGAAACTAACATGAGGCTTGCTTGCTTCAGTGCCGGAGGACTCCAACGTTCCCCGCCTGCCTTGCCAGCCTCTGAGCCTGCAGTTTAAGAAACATTGTAACAAATATAGAAGCTAAATAAAACCCCAGAAACCTGCTTTCAGCGAGCCCGGGATCTCAGAGCTGGAGTTATACATTGTTTCGATTATAGAACTGAAACAAACCAGATACCTGCTTTCAGCAGCAGCAGAGGCCTCAGAGCTG